TACCTTTCAAGTGCTCGTCCTAAGCCTTGTTGCAACAGAATAAGAGTTCTTTGACGGTCCCTTGTCATGTCAAAAAAATAAAGCCAAAATCTCCACCATTTCACACTACAGATTAAAATATGAATTTTAAGAATTCTGACTGCATTTTTCCTGAAATGAGCTACTTTTAAAAGATCTACCAAAAATTGATTCTTTAACACAGCAAACAAATCATGAAATAGGGTAAACAGCACATAAGCATTACAATGTCAGCTACTAGAAGACAATCTTACAAGAGTTAAGGATCACTCAAGACTATGTACTCAACTCTATGGGGGCCCTTGTACAGAAGATTCCTTGTACATGAATTCCAAGATTCCATGAATTAAGTAACAAGTCTGTCAAAGCATTACTGAGATGAACCAATCTGATGTTTATTTTTCTATGCTTCTCCCAATGTAAAATTTCAAGCAAAATGAACAGGAGACAGCTTTTAGAAGCAGGACAACTCCAAGTGAAAACTCATTTCTAACACCAAGGCAAGGAGGCAGGGACAGAAGAAAAACTGATTAAAATACTTCTGAGTGTTACATATAAATCTTTGGGTATGTCTTTCACGGAAAACCTAGAGAGGAATATTAGGCTATGTGGAAAGGTAGCTCAAGATGCTTAAATAACAAGCATCATGTTTATGGTTTATTATTCTCTGTGGTTTAGGTATGCAAATAGCTAACAGTATGACAGAGACCAGGCCTAGTTATTCAGACTAGAGCATTACCCTGTAGATAAAAAAAAAAGTACATGTTAAAACAACAGTTTTTAAAGAGTTTCAATTTTTTTTTCAAATTTCAAATGTGGTGTTCGGCTCAAAGTATCTTAATTATTATTGAAAGAAAATATAAGTTACATTAACATAAATAAAAACACAAATGTTTAGAATCTTCCCGTATACAATAAACACCATTTTGATTTAAAACAATTCTGTTTATGAAAAACGATTATGGTTATTTGTTTTATTTTTTTAATAGCCTTTATTTTGTAGAGACATTGTAGGTTCACAGCAAAATTGAGCAGAAAGTACAGTTTTCCCGTATATCCCATGTGTGTTTGTTTTTAACATTTTGGCTAGAGGTACCGCCTAGGAAAAAGAAAGAAAAGGATAAGTATAGAACAGAGGATGTTAATCTCCACGGCCTGTGGCAAAGATGGAACTCTACTCTGGATCACTGTGCATTTCTACCACAACCAGGGCCTCACAAGGGCAGGTGGCTAGAATTAAGAGTACTGAACTTCTGTTACTTAGCAGCTTGAGAGGCAGGCAAAGAAAAGCAGGTGCCAGAGGCAAGGTATATTAGTCTTCATTATGCAGGTCTGGCTTTGACAAGCACATTCTCGCTGATTTTCTTTTAAGGTTAGATTTACTTTATGGCTCCACAAATGAGTTTACATGAAGACGTGAGGAGTATTTACCCAATGTCAGGGTCACTGAAAGCACATGCATGTAAAAACATAAGCTGCAACAAGAATGAAAAGATACTCAACTACTGCTAATCAGAGAAATGCAAATTAAAAGAATGAGAAACCATTTCACACCTATCAGATTGGTTTTCAAAGTCTCATAATGCCAAGTAGTGAAAATAGAGAAACAGGCTCGTGAAAGTAGCTGGTGGGAGGCAAACTAGAACTAAACCTCACCAAGTTCTTTTTTTCAAAGTTGCAAAAGGATACAAGAAGCATGATAACATTTATATAAAATCTTAAAATACGTCAAGGCAACATATATTATTACGGATGCATACATGTACAACTGAAAGTATGGAAACATCAATGAAATGTGTTAGTTTCAGGTGACTATGCTGAACTTTTACCTGAGCCCTGAGCTCCTGAAGAGCAGTGAAGATTAAGAAATTCACTCCCATCATTTTGTGTTCAGGGCAACAAAAGGATCCTGCCCTTGCTTACTTTGAGATTAAGACCTGTCCCCAGGCTTCCTCAAGGCTCCTCAATTTACCAGCCCCAGGTCTCTGTCCTTTTTTTTTTGTTTTTGTTTTTGAGATGCTCCTCATTTCAATAAATGTTCTCTCAAATGCAAAAACCTGCAAAAGTCATCTCCTTAATCGGCCAGTACATTACGTCTTTTACACAGGAGTGGTTACCTCTGGGGAGAGAAGGGAATGGGATGAGGAAAAAGATGCCTATTTACCTGTAATGGTAAAATAAAAACCTGAAATATGGCAAAAAGTTAACCTTTTATTTTTTTGTACAAAGAAACTTATTATTCTGTGTACCTTCCTGCTTAAAATGTTTCAAAATTAATTTTTAAATTATTTTAAAACCTGATGCCTAGTCAGAAAAGGCCACAAGTCAATTAAACCTTTACAGACTGTTTTCTAATATGTTAAATGGGCACAGGAACACATGCCCAACCTCTTCCACTAGATTGCTGTAAGTAAAAATGTTTTTGCTAATCATCAAGTGGAAGAATACACGTGTAATTCAGTCTGAGCCAACAGCTCAGTTTGTTACAGCCGAGTTCTGATTAGGGTAAGGTTAAGGGTTAGATTATCATGCAGACCTTTACTGTTTCAGGGACAAGACTACACTCTGACTTCCCAGAGAGCCACTGGTTACAAGAGGAGCTAGGTCGACAGTCTCCTGTGATGTCTCAATCCATACCCAACAGGAAGAACTACTCAGCAGATAACCCTAGGAATTTGATGGTAGGCTGGTAAATAATCTTTGTATGAGGAAGCTGGCGCACCCAGTACACACGCACACCAAAGTTTTGTTTGGAGTGTGCAGATGTGGTTCCTGTGGAGGGTAGGCTTTTTTTTTTTTTGGGCACTGTAAAGTGAGACTTCAAAAACATGAAATCTCATCTTAAAGTGCTCAGGGTGATCTGAGTTGGTTTCAAATTGCTTTATTCCCAAGTGCTTCGAGAAGACTTGGTGAGTACCAGGAAGTGATTTTGTTAACGTAGAACAAATCCATCAACAGTTAAAATTTAATCTGAAAAAAAAAAAAATCTTAGAAACTTGGAACCAACTATCCAACCAACAGATCTAAACAGTTTCAAATACAGAGGTAAAGTGCTAAAATCAGGGAATAAACGTACATCTTCATAATATTCTCTAATAGCTGGAATGAAGGGAGAAGCTCTGTGCTCATAAGGCTAAATACAAGAGTAAGCTTTAAAAATGGTCATCTGCACAAATGAACTGATCTACAAAACAGACACAGACTCACAGACAAAGAGAACAGACTTGTGGTTGCCAAGGGGGAGGAGGTTGGGGAGGGACAGACTGAGGTTGGGGTTAGCAGATGTAAGCTTTTATATATAGATCCTACTGTATAGCACAGAAAACTATATTCAACATCCTATGATAAACCATACTGGAAAACAATATTTAAAAAAGAATGTATATATATGTATGACTGAAGCACTCTGCTGGACAGCAGAAATGAACATAACATTGTAAGTCAACTGTGTCAATTAAAATAATAAAATAAAAATGGTCACCTGTATCCTAAACTCTCTTTCTTTGCAAGCATCCTAACAAGAGTAGTTCATAAGTTCTTCAGACCTCCCTAAGTTTGAAACGTACTCGGAATCACCCATCTTGATTTTTATTTCTCCTCCTCCTTCCGGACCATAAATATTTTAAACAGACTCTTCATTTTATTTGAATGTATAGAAATAAGAAAGCTAAGCTTTAAAGTTTAAGCATTTAGCTAAAGTAAAAAGGTTTGGTCCTATTTTCAAACAGAAAATAAAGTTATGTCAAATCAGAAGGCACTAAAGCCGGCTCCAGCCTGATTCAAAGCACTTTCGTCTGAGTGGATGGTCTTAAATTTATGAAAACTCAAAGCCCTTAGATTAAGTCTTTTAGCATAAAGTAGTAATATAAAGTAGTACAATCTTAAAGAAGTTAGAAAGTTGTAAGATGCCGATCTCCTTTGTAGCTTACAAAATCAAACCAAAGAAGAATCAAAAACTGAACAACATCAAATTCGTACTACATATCCTCAGTCATCCAGAAACTACTGTTTAATCTCTCATTTTCTTCCACCACTGAGCCAGTCTGCATAGCCCTGAAAGGTGCAATACCTTAAGAAAACCCAAACTGTCATTCAGTGAAAACATTGTGTAGGAAGATAAACTGGTACCAACTGTTTCCAGGCAGACAGATGCAATAACAGTGTAATATTTCCAGCAAAGTCTGGTAAGCCTTTGCCTGCAAATCATTGACCAAAAATGGTAACAGTATGCGCAGACTACAGAAAATGACAAAATGTCCTACTTGATCGTCCACTTAAGAGCACGGTTCTACAGCAAAAGAGAGTGACAGTTTAGAGGAGAAAATACGTGAATTAAGCAGTCCAACACCTGCTTTACTTTTAGCGACTCGGAGAGCTTAATGGACTTTTAAAAGCTTTTTCATTTGCTTTAGTTAGCATCCCAGCATCATGCCCACCCCCTGCACGCTAAATACTGGCAGAGCCAACCTGTTTGCAGGTAAAAGAAAATCTGTGACCGTACATGGAGGCCGGACAGGCCACCGCCCGGCCGAACGCGGAGGACGAGGAGCTGCGGGACGCGGACCACCGGGGGCGGCAGCAAAGGACCGCAGGCCCGGTTCGGAATCGCGGGGGTCACGCTCGGTGGCCATGCCGGCCCCCAGGTGGCTCAATAAAGGCCTCGTTCCCTCCTCAAGACGCACAGACCTCAGGGGCCGAAACCGCCCGAGTCGCCGACCGCCAGCTCCCGGCCTCGGCGAAACGTGCGCCAAAGAGGCCCCACCCGCGAGCGCGGGCGGACCCCGGGCGGCGTCGCCGGGGCGGGGGGTCGACCCCGGCTGGGCTACCGAGGCCAGGGAGAGGCCCCGCGCCGGCGGCGACGGCGAGAATGCAGCGGCCGGGGAGCCGCCCCGGCGCGGGGCCCAGCGGGTCCGCGGCTGCCGAAGCCCGGGTCCCCCCGCGCCGCCGCCCCGACCCCGCGGCGCCCCGGGCCCCCAGCTTACCATCTTCGCCGCGGCGGCCGCAGAGCGCGGAGAGGGAGCCGGCGAGCACCAAGTCTGCGGAGCGACCTCCTCACAACAGCCCCGCTAGCCTCCCAAAGACTGGCGGGCGCCTCGGGCCCAGACGCGGCGGCGCACGTCACGCGCTGCCCACCGTTGCTGCGCAACCGGCCGGCCTGGCAACGCCCCGCCCCGGCAGTCCCCCAGCCCCGACTCCGCGGGGGCGGGGTCTTCTTCGCCTTCCGGAGAAGGGGCACCGGGTACCCCTCACCAGCTCTGGCCTGTGAGGCGGGGGCGAGGTCCTCCCCCAACAGCTCCGGACGAGGGGGCGGAGCTTCAGCTGGTACCTGCGGGCGAGGGGCGGTGGCCCCTTCACCGGGGCGAGGCCACGTACCCCCCGCCCACTGCGCCGCCGTTGCCCTTACATGGAAGTAGCCACCTGGCCAGGTGTGCGCCGCCGCGAGGGGCGGGGCCTTGGAGGGGGAGGGGTGATAGGGGGCGGGGCCCGCGGCGGAGGAGTCGGGAGGGGGGGTGGAGGAGGAGGAGGAGGAGGAGGAGGGAGGCCTGCATCCATCTTGGCCTGTCAGTAAGAGCCAGCGGGTTCAGGTGCAGTGCCGTGGGGCCTCCCAGGGGCTGGGTATTCAAGCCTGCGGCTTTTACACCTCCTGTAATCTTCTGGGATGCAGTTGGCAAATGATGTCAATAAAGAAAGACAGACCTGTGAAAAGGATGTGAGGTTCCTTAAACCAAAATCAATATCTCCTTATCCCAGGGGTAAAGAGATATGGAGGAAATGGGCCTGTTTCCTGGAAGACTCCTGGATACTGACACGTGGAGAGGAGGAGGTGGTAGGAAACATCCCTGAACTAATTTGAAATTGGCAGCTTCATGTGTGGTGAGTCATGTGCCAGGTGTCACCACACAGATATGGCTTTAGGAGGCTCATCACACACACGAAGCAAACTGTCAGTGAGTTTTAGGGTCATGCTGGGTGCTGTATGCTTTTCTTCTTTTATGAACAACCCTTTCCCGCGTCCATTTCCGTTTTTAAGTGTTCTCGGAGTCCTGATCACTTAGCTTCACTCCTCTTAGCACCTCATCATGTGCTCAGCCACAGCTCTGCACCTCAAATGCTGATTTAAGAGTCTCGACTCACACCATTTGATCTGCATTGCTGGGCCATTGCCTAAACCAAGAAGAGGGCAGGTGGGAGGAGGAGGAGGAGGGAGGGAGGGAGGGACGAAGAAAGGACCAGCGGGAGCCGGGGCGCGGGCGGTCGCGGGGGCCGCGCGTCCCGCATTTTTTACCTACTTTGGTGAGATTCCCGCCGTCCTCGCCTGATTGGCCCAGCACGGCACGTCTGGCCCTTGGGCGAGAGGAAAAATCTGCACATTTTTCCTCTTTGCCCAGGCGACTGTGGCGATTCAGAGCGCTCTGAGTCACCGCTAATTTCAGGTCTGGAAAAAACAAGGAGTGATTTATTTGTCTTTGGGAAAGACACTTCCCGAAGACAAGCCCGGGAAAGGAGCACTGAGTCCGCATTAGTGTGGCTGGGAAACGGCAGAGATGCCTCAGGATGGTGGCGCCCGCCCCGCTGCTCCGTTTTGGGGGTTTTTAATTTGGGATTGCGTTTTTTTTAATGGGCGGTTGCATCAGAAACACAATTTTCAGAGGGCCAGAAGGAATCCCAGCGCCTTTTCTGAGGGTGTTTTTCTGGGGAATAAAGGCAACAAAGAATTTACAGCCGTGATGATTAAGTTTTACTTAATTTAGTCTACCTAGAACTTAACAGGCCTCTACCAGAACTGTTTTAATTCTCCAAATGTGAGGCTTTTGGACAAGATGGTCAATATGTCTTTTGCTTTTCCTGGGCACTATATAAAATCTAGGTTATATGTGGCTTTTATTCTGGCGTCTAGACATAGAGACTCATTTCTTGTTACTCTCCTGTTTTGTGTTTTTCTTTTTAAGAAAGAAAGTTGTGGCAATTCTAAGCCTTACCACCTACTACAAGATTTTTGGCAGGCTAGAGCAGTGGTTTGCAATGTGAACGGGAACTTATTCCAAGTCAGATTTGTGTGCCCCATCCCCAGAGTTTCTGACAATGTATCTCAGGTGAGACCCAAGAATTGTATTTCTAACAATTCCCGGGTGATGCTGATGTGACTGGTGGGTATCGGGCACTTTGAGAAGAAAGAACCCACCTGGATCCAGCTGCAGCTGGAGCCCTGTGTTTCCCTGTCGGCCGGGACTCAGTGCCACCCTCCATCTCTGAGTCCTCAAAGACCTCTTTTCTGTTCAAAACGGAATCGTCCTCATGTAAGGATGCAAGTCGGGCCTGCTCCAGCCTCTCTTATGCGTTTTGTCCTCCTCACTGCAACCAGAGTTATGGCCAAACAGAGGAATCTTATCCTTTCACTTTACCGCTTAAAATTTCCTGTGGCTTCCTCCAGAAATCTCAGCAGTTCATTCTGGCCCTTCTGCCTCTGGCCTCAGCCTGCCTTTTTTGTCCTGTCTCCCACACTTTCCAAAGTTCCCAGTATCCTTCCAGACTAAACTTCTCATTCCAGAATCCTTCTTGCTCTAACTGCCATCATCACGGGCCTGTTGGTCTCTCATCCTGGAATGTTCCCAAGAGTCTGGAGACTTCTGACCACTTCCCAAGGGATCAAGAGTGGGTCCTTCTATAGTCCCACAGTTCATCACTTCTCAAACCTTGATAAGCATCCACACCACCTGAGGATCTTGTTAAAATGCAAATTCAAGGGTTTAGAAGTGGGTCTCAGTTGCCCCAGGAGATTCAGATGCTGTGGGTCCTCAGACCACACTTCCATAGTGAGGTCTTAACGTTTTTCCCTACTGTTAGTATAGCTGTAATTTATATATGCATTTGCTGCCACCATCACTACTTTATATTGAGAGTTCCTTGAGGTCAAGGGGTGTTTAGGATGCATTTTTTTTTAATTTATTTATTTTTGGCTGCATTGGGTCTTCGTTGCTGCGCGCGGGCTTTCTCTAGTTGCGGCAAGTGGGGGCTACTCTTAGTTGCAGTGCGCGGGCTTCTTATTCCTGTGGCTTCTCTTGTTGCAGAACACTGGCTCTAGGCACGTGGACTTCAGTAGTTGTGGCGTGTGGGCTCAGTAGTTGTGGCTCACGGGCTCTAGAGCACAGGCTCAGTAGCTGTGGCACACGGGCTTAGTTGCTCTGCGACACGTGGGATCTTCCCGGACCAGGGATCGAACCTGTGTCCCCTGCATTGGCAGGAGGATCCTTAACCACTGTGCCACCAGGGAAGTCCCTAGGATGTATCTTATACGGACTGGCATAGCCCCTGATGTGTAGTAGGTGTTTAATACATGTTTGTTTTGGTCAGAGAAGTATCTGAAGATGTTTTACAATCCATCAGGCAAACCTCTGTATCAGTTCATTTTAACCTAAAATGAGCCCCCATTTTTCTTAAGACCCCATTGAACTTTAACCTCTTCCTTTACACATTAGTTTCCTAGATATTTTCATTCCTTCTCATCCCACAGAGGGAAAAAGTTTTAACATAAGGTCTCCCCTTGAATATGAGACTGAGTGTGTTCCATTTCTAATTTAGAAAATATTTTGCGTATGTAACCATCTGTGAACATATAGGTGCTTTCATTTAAAACCATAAATATGAGTGGTAGGGGAGAATATACATTAATGAGGCACTTGAAGAGAGATGTGTTAATCAATGATCAGGAAAAGCCTGCGAGGGGATATAACCCTGCCAGTATATAGTGCAGAAAAACTATTTTTAGCTTCTTTCCTGCCTCTTCACAAATTCACCTATTCTCTCTCCCCTACCCTTATTTATGTCTGTGATCTTTTCTAAAAATAATTTTAATTATGTAAGTAAGATATGAGTGTGTTCTCATTATGAAAGATTCCAAGATACAATAAGAAAAGCCCCCAGAGCACTTTTGCTCTCCATCCCCACAGCGTCAGCTTCCTCCTCAGAGGTAACCACTGCTCTCAATTTGGTGAATGGCCTTATGGAGAAATAAGCCATGTGCAGGTGCTTTGTGTTGTGGTTTGCTTTTGTCGGTGCTTTGTGTCATGGTTTTGTGCTGGGTGTGTGGTGTCCCGTAGCTTGCTTTCTGATTTTCTTGATTTCCTGCCTACTGGATCCGTCCGTGTCTGATAGAGCAGTGTTGAAGTCTCCAATTGTGATAATGGATTCACCCATTCCTCCTCGCAGTTCTGTCAGGTCTTGCCTCACTTAGGTTGACACTGTTGTTGGGAACATACACATAAAGAATTATGTCTTAGAGGAGAACTGACCCCCTTAACGTTATGTAACCCCCTTGTTTATTCCCAAGAACTTTGCTGATTCTGAAGTCGACTCCGTCTGAAATTAATGTAGCTACTCCTGCTTTGTTTTGATTAGTGTTAACATGGTATATTTTTCTCCATTTACTTTTTTTTTTTTTTTGCGGTACGCGGGCCTCTCACTGTTGTGGCCTCTCCCGTTGCGGAGCAACAGGCTCCGGACGCGCAGGCTCAGCGGCCATGGCTCACGGGCGCAGATCCCCGCGGCATGTGGGATCTTCCCGGACCGGGTCACGAACCCGTGTCCGCTACATCAGCAGGCGGACTCTCAACCACTGCGCCACCAGGGAAGCCCTCCATTTACTTTTAATCTGTATGTGTCTTTATATTGAAAGTGAGCTTCTGATAGACAACATAGAGTTGGCTCTTTTTTTTTTTTTTTTTTTTGATGCACTCTGAAAATCTCTGTGTTTTGATTGGTGCATTTAGACCATTGACATTCAAAATTATTATTGATATAGCTGGATGAATATCTATAATATTCACTACTGTTTTCTATTTGTTGCCTTTGTTCTTTGGTCTTATGTTTGCCTTTCACTCTTTTTCTGTCATTTGTGGTTTTAACTGAGCATTTTAGATGATTTCATTTTCTGTTCTTTCCTAGCATATCAGTTATACTTTTCTCACTTTTTTTAGTGGTTGCCCTGGAGTTTGCAGTATACATTTACAACTAATCCAAGTCTGCTTTCAAATAACGCTTCACCACTTGACAGATAGTG